AAAAACAGGTGTTTTGCAACGCTGGGCATTGCCCGCTCAGCCCTGGGAAGGGGGTGGTGGTGGGCACCACCCTGTTAGGCCTTCGGGCATGAATGAGAGAGCTATCCCCCCCACCCCTCCCTGAGACTCCTTGCCGCCTGCGAGCGTGGCATTCACTTCAGCGTTGCCGGGACACACATCTCCACAGCAACGTCGGAGTGTAATCGGTCAAGCGGCTGAACGTTGAACCAAGTTTCCAGCTCCAGGGCACCAGGGGTAGCTCTGGAATCCAACGGTGGGTGGGTTTCGAAGCAGGACAAGGTAACCCATGCCAACTTCTTTCCCACTTTGCAGAGTTACGGCGTTGGGCCCCGTCGCCCATCCGAAGCGAGACTTTTCATTCCGGCTTCGGGGCAGGATTGGGATTGAGTGCAATGTTGTGATTTTCCAGGCCGCTAATATTGCACTTGTCCTGGCCTCCCCCTGTTCCGGATTCACACCTGGCCTGAGAGCGGCACGCACACCTGGGACCCCGCTTTACACCTGGAGGCTGCCTCAGGTGGGAATTTTGCACGGCTGACCACAAATCTGGGGGACTCACTCAGCAAAACGTGTCCCCAGAACTATCCAGAAGTGGGTTGAATTGGGGAGAGGGGTGTGTGTGTGTTCCCAGACCGTTTCTCACTGCTTGGATAGGAAGTCCTCAACTTACGGGCCCCTAATTGAGCCCAAAACTTAAAGAGAAACGTTTGTAAAGTCATTTCTTTTGTCCCGGTTTTTACCACCTTTCTTGCCTTCGTCCCTTTTCTGCGGCCTTTCTTGTCCCCGTTGTTAAGTGAGTCACTCGCAGGAGGTTGTCAGAGACACGGTTGTTAAACGAATCTGGCTTAACGTGGCTTTCGAAGGGAAGGTTGAAAAAAATGGGGGTTGGTTTTAGGGCCCACGACAAGAATTCGATTCGCAGCAGATTCACGAAATAAATCCTCTCGCCTTGATTTACACAGGGGTGTAAATGACCACAATTTGAGCCCTCTCCCCCCCCCCAATTATACGTCGTTCAGCGAGACGGCGGTTCGGTGTTTTACAACCTTCCTTGCCGCCGTTGTAAAGTGAGTCACTGCCGTTGATATGTTAGCCACCTGGTCATTCAGCGAATCTGGCTTCTGCAATGATTTGGTCAGAAAGTGGCAAAAGGGGACCGATGTTGTGACATCCGTCGTAAGAACGAGGCAGTGGTCAAGTGGCCGAATATCAATCACGTGAGACGCCGCAACGGTCGTAAGTGTGAAAAAGAGTCCCAGGTGTCTTTTTTCACCGCCGTTGTAACTTTGGTCATTAAATGAACTGTCGTAAGTTGGGGAACCCCGCCCTTAGATATAAAAGCAGGGGGAATTAAAAGCAAAATTCAGATATATTTTGATTATGTAGACCTTGCCAGGTGCAATAATGCTTCCAAACCTAAATGCAAAATGCAAATAAGATTTTCTTCATTCTTATTCTTAATCCTTAATCGATCTGAGTTCTCGCCGGAGGAAAAAATTCCTAAACTGCTTTGACAAAAGAGGATCCCCAAAAAATTAGATTTGTAGGCCATGAGAAAACACATTTCAGGGTCTCCAAAGTTTAAAAACTTGGTGTGTGTGTGTGTGTGTGTGTGTGTGTGTCTAGGAAAGAAACCCCCTTTTTAATCCCCACCCCACCCCTTAAAAATTTGGAGAGGCATCTCGAAATCCCAACTTCTATTCGACGTGTCCGCTTCAAAGCGACTTTTAATCTCTCCTATTACAGATTCATTTGTTCACACCCAAAATATCACAAGGTGCAGATATATTTTTTTTAAAAAAAAAAATTTTATGGAGGGAGGGAGGGGGTGACTGTTGCCCCTTAAAAACAACCCCAAATCAAACCCCAAATCAAACCCCAAAGTTGTATCAACGCGATGACGCAACTTTAGGATTTTCGCTCCCTTTCGCGAGGGTGGCTGGTTTGCGGGATTTTCCCTTCGATTCAGCGTAGAGGCTCTCCAACGGGGGGATCACGTGGGGGGGTGAGAGATTTCCTGCCCCCCTCAAAATCCTTTGGTGCGACGTTTTGTGTGTGTGTGTGTGTGTGTCTTTGTTTTTTAAG